TGGGTCATTACTAATAAAGCACTTATCCCTCATACAAGCACAAATGCCTCCCTGTGCTCTCACAGGTATTTATCTGAGCACTTCAGAGTCCTCAGTGGATTTATCCTCACAGTGCTCTGCCGAGCTGGGCACTGACGTGATTTCTGTTACACAGAGAAAGAGCAGGGCTTGGGGACTGAATTCAGCTCTTTGCTGCTCCAAGGAAACAATCTCCTGAATCAGGATGCTGTAACCACCCATGATTCTTCCTTACTCTCCCCACCTGCATCCTCTTGGGACAGCAGGAAACTGCTCCTGGGTCCATCTCACATTCTCTCCTTTACCAGAGAGCCCTGCTCCAGCAGAGCACTGCTGCTCCAGCCTGCAGGAGAGAGAGCTTCAGCCTCTGGGGCCTTTCCTTACTGCTGAAGTGCTCATGAAAGAGAGCATCCAACCCGCACCTCCCAGCCTGCGTGACCCAAATCATCACCCTCTGTCCTGGCTCCCCATTCACAGATGACTCATGAGATGAAGTCTCCCCGCTGCTCAGCACCATCACTCCGCAGCCAGCCAGATTTCATGAACAACAGTAAAACAAATATATTTGTCTTGCAACTCCAGCGCCAAGACAAGCAAGGAGCAAAGCTGGGGGCCAACTGTAACACCACAGATTTTGGCAGCCAGCCCTCTTTCCAGCTCCTTATATATTTTCGTCCCAACTTTCCACCTAGGTCTCCCTCTTTTCTGGTATTTCTGGGCAGATCATAACACCCACCAAAGAGCAACAAACGCCTGCGTGGCTCAGTGCTTGCCCTTGATGAATTAAGGCACCTCCACACTCGCTCCTCTCCCACTCTTTCCAGCACCACTTTATCACAGACAAGGCCCAGAAACCTGTTGCTGCTGTGTTTCTCTTCTAAACCATAAAGCCAACTGGCAAACTAGAATTTAACCACACAGCTGCTGAATGCAGTTAGATTAATACACGGTGGCCAAACAAAACATTGCTTTTAAAATGCAATTTGTGCTTGGCACTGGACACATTGGGAAAATTCAGAGCAAGCTGCACTACAGACCAGCTCATAATCCTATGCAGAAAGTGCTTTGATGCCCCCAATTTACATCTGACAGCCTTAATGCATTTTGGAAAGAGGCAGTAGAGTAGAAAGCCCTTGCATTAATCACGTCTGATGTAAGAAAACTAATTTTTGCTTCTACTCGGTTGTAAAATTCTTCGTGTGCACACACCCCATTTTCCAAAATCTAAAAAAAAAAATCACAGCAAGATGGTGGAAAAAAAATTGAGAAATTCTGGCAAGTTGTAACTTTTATCCTGAGAAGTCCTCCTTTACTGATCCAAAATATACCTTGCAGTTTTCTGGTGGCATGGGGGAAAGGAAGGTGTAACAAAAAGTTTTCACCTGTGATTATCTTGCCTGACCCTCCATCCTTGCTGTACTGAGCTCTGTTGGTCTGCACAGGTATTTATGGTCAATCTCTTGCAGACAGAATGCATATTTCCCCACCACAATAAAAGTTAGTTCAAAGCAGGCTGCTCCCATTGAAGTACTTGGGAGATTTTTTTTTTTCTTCCATCAGCTTGAGCAGGAGTTGGGTTGGGCTCACTGAGATAGTCTGCTCTAGGAAAATCCTCACTTGTTGATTAGGGCTCAGCAGGAATAAACACAAAGAGTATTTTATTTTCTTTGGTAACTTCCCATTCCCCAAATAATTTGAAATTAATCCTCCAATTTAATTTCAAGCTGCTTTTCTGCTGCGCTTGGTTGCTGAAGGAGAAAAGATTCTGGAGAAAGCAGCACAGGTGAATTACATTTGCTCAACATTTTCAGCATTAAATAATCTGCACATAACTCAGGCTCGCTCCAACGGTACACTGCACTGACCTGACATAAAATATAGCTCTGCTAAGCCAAAAAAGATAAAACAGGGATACCTTCATATTTAAAGGAGAAACAGTGAAGGATTTCAGACTTTAACGAGATACAGATGCCGACCACTGAGTGAATCACTCCGCTCATAATTAAAGAGTCTTCTGATGTCTGAAGACTCTTCCTGTCATGAAAACTCTTGGATGCCATTTCATCTCCATCCTAAGCCTGATTTCAGACTGAAAGAGGGGAATCCAAATGTTGATGTCACCCCAGACACCACTTATATTCTCCATTTCCCTTTTGAAGAACTTGGTATTAATTTCTGTCTATTCGGGTTTTATGTTTTTATAGGTCTTCAGGCACCCTTAGAGCTAGACAGGAGATATGAAAAATCAACAATGAACCAAGGAATTTCCAGGCACCGTGCTTTAGCATTTCATGCAAACCAGCAGTATTTAAATCAGGGATCTCTCTCACTAACCCACAGTATAAAATCAGAAAATTCCACTTTCGTGTACAAGAACACAACAAAAACATTTTACAGTTTTGCTGATGTTTCAATGTAACAATTCAAGGATCCCAGAGGAGTGAAAGTCACAAGAAGTTGGAGCTTTATTACTATTATTATCCAGCTGGGCTACCTGGGGGTAAAAATAAAAAGAAAGGAGAAAGCAGCATCCAGGCACAACAACCTTTTCATGAGATGCCCAAAAACTTGTCTTACCTTACAACCTGCATGCCCAAAAAAGCCCCTTTTTTTGCCAATTAGATTGGAATTCTCTATTTTCATTTACTTACCATTACTACTCCCTGAGCATGAATAAATCTCTCAGCTTTTCTGCTATGAGGTAAAGGAATGATTTAAAAAATAATAAATAAATCACTCTTATCTTGAGCTGGGATATCACCTGAGGGTGCTTTTGCTTCTCTGCAGCTGCAGCCTCCCCAGGGAAGCTGGTCCCCACGCTGAACTAGCCCTCATGCTGCAAATTTCTCCTCTTGTCTCTTCTGACAGCCTGTATCCTCCCCCTGGACAGTGATGTCCAGAATGAAATGTACTGTAGCCACCACCAGAACTGAATAAAGGGAACAAAATGCTTTGAATTTCTTATAGGAAACCATATTTCTGTTTCCTGATGACTTTTTCCCCCAGCCCTACAAAAAGATTCCATTGCAGATGCCAGGGCATTTTGTGATCCTGTAAACCCCAAACCCTCCACTCACACTTTATCATTTCTGGCAGAAGAGGTACCCAACCACTTCTGGTCTTTTACAGTTCAGTCCTTCTTTGCTTAGCACTGCTAAGCTGGAACCCTCCTTTTTCAGACCTTTTCTATTATTTCAGATCCCCTGAATCCTAGTCCTGAACTTGGCTGTGCTCGTACCTGTCTCAGCTTGGCAGGACCTGCAGAGCAACTGTGATCACTAGCTTGTCTTCCAGGTGTTAATGGAGATGGAGATTGCTCAGGAGCTCCACCTCTTCCAGGGACTGCTGCCTTCTGTGCTTAAAAACAACTTCATCATCTTTATCATACTCTCCTGAAAAATATTCCCTAGGCATTACAGGCTTCCCAGCCTGCAGCTCCTCCCTTTCTCCCTTTTTGAAAGATATCCCATTAAATTTTCTTTTCTGCAGTCTTCTCAAGCCTCATTTGTCCTCCACAGATTTTCAAAGATTATCACTAATGGCACTGAAATCACTTAAGCCAGTTTTCTAACTATCTGGAGCTGAATTCCTCCAGGCTCTGCTCTGCATTCAAACCTATTCTTTCCCTCTTTTCTGAGAGCATGCTGGCTGCAGCTGACCCTCTCAGGAAGAACAGAAGGAATAAAAAAGTCATTTGGTACTTCTGCTTTCTCACTTCCATCTTCTAAGAGCTTTTCCTTTCCACAGAGCAGCAGACTAACTCATTCCCTGGCCCAGCTCTTGCTGCAAACACATTGACAGAAACCCCTCTGGCTGCCCTTTTAGTCTTTTGCCAATTGTGGCTCATTTGGACCTTGGCTTCTCAATTTTCTTTACATGTTCATGATAAAATTATTCTCAATAGTTCTACCTACTCTCCAGTATTTTTATGTTGCTTTTGAGTTTCAGGTCATTAAAGACCCCGTGATTTAGCTAAAGTAATCTCTTACTATGTTTCCCATCTGTCCTCTCCATTAAGGGAGTTCTACTGGTGCATTGAATTTACTTCTCTAAGAAACCTTTAACTCTCCCAAACTTCCTCTTCAGCCAGAGCAGCTTGCCAAGACTGCAGCTCTGAGCTGACTTAAATCCACTTCCCCAAAACCCATTGTCTTCCCCATGCTGCTCTCCCTACTTTCCTTCTTAATAATCAGCAGTCTGGCAATCCAGAAATGTTTTTGTTTTAGAAAGGCTATTCTGCCCAGGTGGCCTCATTTCCTAAATTTCCCAAGGACTGAATTCCAGCTACAGATCAGTTTGCATCTGTTCTGCTTTGGGTTCTGGACATGAACAAAGGTGTAGTTCAAGCACTTAGAAGAAATTTTCATGTCAAAGTATCACAGTCAAACCTGTCCTGCTACAAAACATCGCCCCAAAATAGAGGAACTGGCAAAGAATGAAGGGAGAGGATTAAAAAAAAAAAAACCCTCAGATTTTTCTGGAAGGACAGACAACACATCCTCCAAAGCATCGGAATCTTCAGCTCAGTGTCCTTAGAAAAGGCTGCAGAATCCGCCTTGCTGCTGGCAGAAGATATAATGAAGGATTTAAGTACAGGTTGTAAAATTCTATGTGCTGTCCTAGATAATTTATACCTTTCCAAATGATGCCTCTCCATTCCTCAGATACACGAGATCACCCTGGAGGAGTCAGCCCTGACCCCAGTCCTTTCAACATCCTCTCTCTGCACAGGGGATACTTATATCCTCCAGCCGTGCTCGCTCGCAGCAGCAGTCGATAGGAAAGAGTGGCTTAGACAGAGGAGCTCAGAAAGAACAAATATTTTTACAGCAGCCCCCTAATACTTCGAGCAGGATGGGAAGACGACAGCATGGACAAGGGAGCCATTGAAAACAGCACTGCTCCTAACATGTGCTTGGGAAGATATCTGTTATCTGGGGTCTGCCAGCTGGCTCCTGTGTGCACAGCATCACCCTGCCCTTAACTCTGTTTGCTTTGCCGTTCCCACAAACGCAGTCTTTGCCCTGCACAAAAACCCCCTCCTGCTGTCAGCTGTGATTAACCAGCCCCAAGGAGCCCCTGCCAGCCAGGCTGCAGCAGGGCCAGCCCCACTGGAAGCACAGCTACCCCAAACAATCCCCCAACAGATGAACACTGTGGCCAGCACTGGGAAGGAAGCAAACTCTCTCTCTGCCCAGGCCTGTGTTAATCCCATTGTCCTTCCCAACACCAAATCTGCCAATGGTTGACTTCTGCAACTTCTAATTGAGCATCCCTGGGAGGACCTGCACCCCATCTCCAGCTCTACCTCATCCTTCAGCAAAGGTGATTCTCCTGCCCCGACTCCTGAAGCCCAGCTATCACCCAGAAGAAATCTTCCTTGACCCTTGCAGAGAAGCAGGAGACATCAACCATAGGATCAACAGAGTGTAAGTATGGTGCAAACAATGAGTTATCCACAACCTGATCCATATTTGCAGCTTAATTTCTGGCTGCTCCCTATTGGGCCATACAGGTGCTCTCAATGTATTAAGCTTCATCCTAAAATAGTTGAGGTCCTCGCTCCCATTATAATCTTTGGCCAAACTCCACTCCTAAGAACATCTGGATGCTGTCAATTTGCCCTCTCATGCAAATTAGGATTATTACATTCCCTTACAGAAGCTGCCTTTCTTCTATTAATTTGCTCTTACCCAACTATTTGCACCTCCATCAAATATCCTAAGCTGTCTGTATCAATATTTGAGTTGCTAGTTTATTTTTCTTTCTAGCTCGTTTCCATTTATGGCGTGCTTCTCCATTTAATATTAAATCGACAGTGACAGATCATCACCCTTTTTCTAAATTCACTAAATGGTTTAATAATATAATTTTGAGAAACAGATTTGTGGCTTGCACGCACACACCAAGGCAAAATAAAGATGACAGCGCATTTGAACAAGGCAGCAATAAAACAGTGATAGTAATAAAGAATAAAAATGCTATTATCAGGTTGCCATGGGAACCAGCATTCAAGGACTCCAGGTAACGTTGTAAAACATGCCACTGAGCATAAAGCAGCTAAGCAGGTTAAGAGGTTATTTATTAGGCTGCGACAGTGCAGTGCCCTCTGGTGAGAGCGCAAGAGAGGCACAAAGGGGCCCCAAACCAGGCACAAGATCCCAGGGTTTGTGCCCCGGGAGCATCACCCAGAACTGGGAGGGGATGGCCACAGGCCAGGCTGGTGCAGAGCTGTGCAGGGCTGGCACCAGGACAGGCACCCACAGCTGCTCTCATCTGCCTCCTGTCCCAGCCACAGCGCACACGGAGCACCAAGGGCTCCGGGAAACACCTCCCTAGGTGGGATGTGCCAGCCTCTGCGAGGGATGCTCTTCCTGCTGAGGGTAAGGGGACCAGCTAAGATGAAAGCCACAGCAGGTATGATTAAAGCCAGCAAGCACAATCCTTGGGCACAGCGTGTTTTCTTAAGGACTGAAAGTGGAACTGGTTCCATGCCCAGAAATGTCACTAAAATTAGCAGCAGTCCCCCACATGGAGGGGTTCCAAACCCTCTGGAGCTCAGGGACACGCACCACTGCATGAGGAGCACAGGGAAATGAGTCAAGGGAGTAAGGAGCCCATGTGCAACAACAATCCAATTCAGAAATTCAATTCAGCTCAGGGTAAAAGCAGGCCGAGGTGTCCCGTCCTACACAAGACAAAAATACATAGATACCAATCAAACACAAGATGTTCTTGAGCATCTTGACAAGGTGGAACACCCCCCCACACACAACAGAGGATGCTGCAAAAGCCTTTTGAGTGCAGTGTGCTCCCCTGCACCCTCACTGTGACTCTCACATGGGGACATGTGGCTGATGGCCATGTCCATGCCTGCCAACAGCAGACATCGAGCCTATTTCAGGTACCATTAGTTAACATGAAGCATTTATCTGGGGGAGCAGAATAGACTGCTTACAAATATCACAGCACAGGGTTTTCTTTCTTTCCCACAAGCCTTTCTGTAGGGAAATCAATACAAAACCTAGTTAAATGATTTTGAATAAATACTGTTAACATTTTGTATAGATTGGCTCCTCCAAAACTGAATCAAAGCTAATACCATCCTGATCCATCACCCTTCCTGCCACACCTAAAATAATGGAAATCGTAACAGAGAGAGGATGATTTTTAAGCCTGCCAAAACCTGCTAAACACAAGGCATGGCTGGATTAGCATTTTCTATTAGCAAAGCCTATTTAGCCTAATATTCTGCAGTACCTTCCATGCAGCTTTGCTGTTGGGATGAGGGTCAGTGCATGCCCAGCCTGCCAGCACTACTCTGCCAACAGCCAGCTCCCAAACCCACCACAGCTCTGTGGCTAGCAGCAGGTTTGGATTTGTCTTTAAAGTGCAGAAATACTGCTGGGAGGTGGAGTGGGGCTGGAACATGGAACCCATCTCTCCTTGTTTTCCCCTGCACTGTTAAAGCTGTCAATTCAATTCTCCTCCCACTAAGTGGCACCAATGCACCGCAAACCACAACGAAAACATCTGTACAGACAGCTTATAAATAAATATTCCCCTGTCTTCCTGAGGCTGGCCCGCAGCAGGGGAAATCAAACAAGCAGGGGCTGCGTGCGGGAAGGGGCGGCAGGGCTGGCCAGCTCTGCCCCAGCACAGCCCTCCAGGTATGGCTCTCCTCCCTCATAAAACCTTTAATCACCTGCCATGAAGGAAATGCAGCTTACAGGGACACAAGGAAAGAGAAAAAGTCAGAGGTAATGTTGTGTTTGCTGCACACCCAATACCTGATCTCTCTTTGAGAAGAGAAGCGGTGCAGGGACAGTAGCAGACATTGAAACCCATGGAGCGTTGAGCCAAGCCCAACCCAGAGTCCCTGCAGTTGAATTGCATATAATCCACACCACAAATCACACCCTGAATGTCAGGCACTGCAGTTTTTCTTCCAGACAGCCCTTGTGAGGCCCTTTTGTTCAGGAGAGCTGTAAGGACTGCCCTGAGTTCCTGGCTGAATGGCCAAGGCTTTGCCCAGCAAAGCCCAACACTTGTGTTACTGGAGAGCAGGCATGTGGGGCAGAAACAGCTTGGCTGTAAATCAAATCTACTGTAAAAAATCAAATCTGTGGCTCAAATTTACTGTAGCTGGGAAAAGGTTATGAAATAAGAGGCCCCATTTCTGTTAACCATCAGGCAAGAACAGAAACTAAGAGGGGAAAATGTCGAGCAGGAAAAACATCTAGCATCTTTTCACCAGTGCTCTTGAGAGAAGTGGCAGTTAGCCAGAAATACCAGTGCAAATGCCAACAATGAGCAGTTTGGGACACCACAGTTTCCCTTGTCACGGCCTGTCCTTTGGAAGAGTGATGCCCATGGTCCCTCCAAAGTGTAGAAACGAAGTCGTGTGTTGGGCAAAGAGCTGAGCAGTGCCTGGACAGGAGGAGCAGGACCCAGCAGCAAGGGATGATTGGTCTCAGTGGTTTCACCACCATCTGCCTCACATTTGCTCCAGCAGAAAGCTGCTAGAAGACAGCAGCTCTGTAACTCATTCCCACGCAGGCCAGCCTGGCCAGACACACAGAGCCCAGCGCTGGAAGCTGACAGACATTGACTCCTCCAGCCCGGGAGAACTGCCTGTGGCTGACGGCCACCACACTCCAGACCAGACATACCAATCTGCCCTCCTAAATTAGCAACATGCACTGGCCACAGAGGAATAACTTGCCTTCATCTACAACAGAGCTAACAGCCACAATCACCACCTTTTTATACAGCAAGTCTGAGCAGCTATCCCTAAGGGGAGGAAGATATCCCTAAGGGGAGGAAAAAAGAGCTCATAGGCACCTCCTGAGTTTGTTTTTAAAACAACACTCACAGATGTAGGACTGACATTAAACCTCCTGTGCACTGAAACCAAAACAGGGAATAAAAGTATCCCCTCAGTCTTGAAGCATTCCAGATACCCTACACTGAGCACTGGAGCATCAAGTCACTGGCCAGGGATGCTGACTTGCTTCTTTGTGCTCCCTCCACCTTTTCCCCATGCAATATCCAACAGCTGATTATTCTGTTGTTTGCAGTAGACTGAAGTAATTAAGCTTAACCCTAGTCCTGTGGGAGTCCCAGAGAAGGTTAGTGATCCACAGGCATGACACGCTGTTATTTATAGCTGATTAAGTTCTATTTATCTACATTTAAATGTTGCAGGAGATGGGAAGAGATCCCAAAACACATCTGTGTCTTATTAGAAACACCAGCTGTGTGTGGTAGCTTAAAGTTTGCCTTTCTTGAGAGGTTATAAGGAAAAGAAAAACCAACCCTGAATAACTCAAATTCTTCACTGTAGCTAAATAAATTGGTGTGGTTTAGTCATAATCTTCAAGATGTAAGCCCGCCATCCCATGCAACTGACCTGCTTCTGGGGTCAAACTCAAACCCAAAATTAGCCAGGCCACTTTGAAGCTGTTCTGAGCACTGTAATTGCATTTAGTTTTTACTGTAAGACTGTTCATGTCTTAAGAGACATGAGAAAGGTGACCAGCAGGTCACAAACCAGATCTTTAGAGACATAACTTCTGAGCCTCTATGCATTTCCTAACTGCACTGTGGTTTCACTAGTTAGACCCTCTTCATGTATATGCTCTGTTTTCTCTCACACACACAGAGGAAGACAAGCAACCTGAGGGGATGCAGATCTGTCACCACCCTTTCCTCCAGGCAGATGTGGTGCTAGGGCCCACAGCAACCACTGAGACCTTAAAGCCTTTGTGCAATTTGAGTTACTGCTTTTTTGCTGGTAGAGAACAGTGACAGAATTACTTGCACGTAGGATATAACGAAGAGTTTCAATAATAGTATCGTCATAACTCAGTCAGGCTCTAGAGGAAGGGACACCACTGTCTTGTCACTATTTTCACCAGATCACAGAGGTAATGCAGAGTTTACCTCCTAATTGTCAAAGCAGAATGTGCTGAAGGAAGCATCAAGCTGAGATCTCCTTCTGCAAGGAGTCCTAGCTGAACCATCCAGATAGCAACAGGGGGGTAGAGCAGGAACATCCAGCTTTTGTGGCTGCAGAACTGTAACTCTCCCTAAGACACTTCTTAAGAACCAGGAGAATGACATATCATTTGCCTTTTTCCACTGCAAACCATTGGTGAGCTGCAAGACCTTTGTTGGTAAGTTCCAGCCCAAGAAGAGCTGGCTGAGTTTCACTTTTAGCATCACCTGAAATGGAGCTGAGATTCAAAATGAAATTTTAAGGTAAAAAGCAAAACCTCGGAGTTTTGTGAAGAACACTTTGAAATGCCTCACCTTGGCTTTGACAGCTTCTTCTCACACAGGAATCAGTGAGACTGTGTCCACAGGAGCTCAGTGAAACTCTGCACCTTGAAGGGAAGACCCACAAGGACTACCTGCACCCAAGCCACTGACTGCAGTCCTCTGATGGACCATAAACTGGCTGTCAACCACCCCACCACAGACCAACTGCAGCTCACTTGGGCTTCCTTGGCAATCCTCAGCCACAGTCTGACCCAGGGGTGAAGCCACCCTGCCTTCCCTGTGCAAGTTCTCTCCATCTCCTGGCTCTGACCATCCCCATCCAGCGCAGAGATCGGGGACTCCTGGCTCTCACCAGTCCCAGCCCACATCTCCTCCAGTGATGCAGCCCTGGGCTGATGTTAACAGAGCGTTAAACCTCAAATTAGAGCACGGCTGGAGCAAGCCTGGGATATTTCCAGTTTCCCCTAGGAAGGCAATGCTGCCAGCTCTTTGTTTTGTAGTGAGGCATGTGATAATTTGGCATCATCTTCTAAGTTCTGAAATTTGCTGGAACAAAAGAAATGTTGAGCTTTCATTAAGAGGAAAAAACAAAGTGTACAGTCTCAAGTCATAAACACAGACTTGCAAATACAGCCCATGAGTGCCTGAATACAATTAAGAAGACTCTAAACCAGTGCTCATTAAGTGTCTCGGTTGCTGGATAGCTTATTTGTTCATTCTTATTATTTGATTAGATTTGATAACTCAAATTGTTTGGAGCTGTATTTCTGCTGTGGTTCATCTATTGCTAAATTCCTTTCACAGGCCTCCTTTACAACCCTTAGGAATTCAGGTGGTCACTCCGCAGTGTTATTTTAAAACTGATGTTTTGAGATATACTAATATAGAGAACTATCAATCCCTTAAATTTCACTTACTGCTGCTTTTGGATGATGTGTTTCAGCAGTTGCAGGCAGGCACGGGCATACATTCAGTAAGTCAACTGCCAGAAAAATTCCTCCCATATTATAGGAAAAATAAAAGCATTTCAGTTTAAAAACAAAGAAAGAAACCCAACAAAAACAAAGCCAACAATGAAGCAAAGTCTGGTTATTCCAGAGTACAGTTTCCCCTGGTACTTTGTGTTGCAATTATTGACATATCCCCAGATAGTCAAACTCATGTGGTCCAAAGTTTTGTTGTGGACTTTGTAGAACACGTTGTGCCTGAGCCAACTGGAGCACTCAGTTTGTTATCAGGCTGACCTGAGGAACAGGGGACACACCAGATTTGCTTCTCAAGGGGAGGGGGGAAAAATCAAATCACTGAGCTACACAAACCACAATAAAAAGCAAAACTAAATTCAAGCACACTACAAGAGGCAGGTTCATGTTGCAACCACCCTGACTTCTCCAGACTCTTGGGTTGGAGGAACAGCACAAATAACCAAGATGAGGAAGCACCAACACCTTCCACTTCTCTGTAACTTCAGCTGTAATTGAATGCAGCTCCTGGCAGAGCCACATAACCTCAGGACAAGAGTATCTTCAGGTACACACAACAGCAGCAGCAGGATGAATACTCCTCTAACAGCAGCAGTATTTCTTCCTCATGTTTTTTTCAAAATGTTTTTAACTTTATACTTCAGCTGGACAGGCTGAAAACACGAGTAGAGATGGAATGCCTGAATGCACTGCTTTACTATTAATCCTAATAAGCACGAGCAGAAATCTGAAAGCAAACACTACAAAGGATTTTCACCACAAAAATTCAACCTCAATTTCCATTTTCTAACCATAGTCCTACAACTTCAGAATTTTCCTTGTTGTACTTATGAGTTCCTCTGCTTCCTCCTTTCAAATTATATTTACACAAAAAACAAACCAATCTGAATTATTCTGGAAAACTACAGCATACACGCTCTCAGATTTGCAAGAGCTGCTGAGTGCATAATTTATTAGAAGAAAGGCAGAACCAAAATACAGCCATACCATATAAATCACCTTCAATAAGAAGTAGACAAAAACACCACATTGGTTTCTGTAACCCTGTTTCTGTCCTATTCATTGCATGCAGATGGGATGAGTTCAACTGGAGGCTTGTTACTGGTCTCTATTTAAAAATAATCCCACAAAATCACAAACCCCAAGAGATAACACAGTCAAAAATAGTATGAAGAACACAAACGTGCTGCCACAAACACAGCATAGATTTTTAAGGGCTGGTGTTTTACACCCCCATTCAATGAACTGCTGTAAACTAACAGATTGTTACAGGAACTTTGGGGAAGTACCCAGAGAAAGCTCCCAAACCTGCTGTGTCACCCAACCTTTTGTATCCTCCAGAAACACAGCTCAGAGTCTGAAATGGGACCGGACAGCAAGAGGCACAGCAGTACCTGGGTCTTCTTCTCTCCCTCAGCATTCACCTCCACTCTTCAGCATGGGTCCCCTCCTCTAGGCACATGCACTGCTCCCCAGAAGTGCTCAGAAGAGGCTGCCTGGCTCAAAATAATGAGAATCTAAAACAACAGCTGAAGCACTTAAATAAAAAAACATGAAACAAAAGAAGAGAAGGGGGACAGACCAAAAAAAAAAAAAAAAAAAG